TCATGACCTTGGAGGTTAGATGGTAACATGCACAGACTTCATTACTCATTAACAGACTTTCAGCAGATTTACTTTAATCAACATCCAAGTTTACCTTGCTTGTTTTCATCCTGTATCTTTTCATTCTGTATCTTTAGGAAAATATTGAATATCTTTTCCTTATTCATATTTAAAAGTTGCCAAGAGCTTCTGAATATAGAAGTTTCCATTTTCCTCTTAAAAAATGGCAAACCAAAAAAAATAATCCTTAAAGAGAATCTACAGGACTAGAAGCAACACCTTACGACATTTCACACAGTATGTCAGGTCTAAATCTGTTGTAACTAACACCAAATTATGGCAGTTCTACAATAAGTAACTTTCCTGATTTTCTGCTCTATACTTGCTTTTGATATTAATCCATCTTTGCATATTTCCAAGTATTTCTCAAATAAATCAGTCTGCATGTATTAATTAAGAATGGAAAAATGGGTCCTGGACCTCAGAGCACCCATCATACCAATTATCAAACAACACTGGTGATAACAGTAGAGCATTCAAAAACTTCCAGGAATGGGGAAGAGGGGTGCATAAAAGATGAAAATTAAGATCTCAGGAGAAAAAAAAAGAAAATAAACATACTTTAAAAATGTGCTTGCTGACTATAGTTTATTTTAGCTCACAGTGGGTTTTAGGTTTATGATTATTACAGGTGTCATTAGATATGAAACTGTGGCAAGTAGCTGCAGTCAGGACTGACGTGTCTCAGAAATACCACGTAGAAAAACCTGTGCTGCCTGCCTGCAACCTCCACTCTAGCCAGAGAAATCACTTGCAGGTACATTGGATTAACTTGAGAAAGGGATCTGAATTACACTCCCTTTCAATTGCCTGGAAGATTATTAACACATTAACCTCTCAGGCAGGCAAGTTATCAGGGAGCATTAACTTCAATCCCACATTCTGCATAACTGGACATTCTGCATAGCTAACAAGAGGAAACAGGGCACAGAAGTAGCTCACCTTTAGGACTTCCTCAGAGACATCCTTCTGTAGTTCTTCTAAGAACACTAAAAATTCAGTTTCTCTCTGAAGGACAACTGGAACAGTTTTCTGAAACCATATATGAGTATGGGAAACATATTAGTCAATAAAACTTTTATTTATCTACATTACCATATAAACCTATCTTAGATATTTCATTAACATTGTGAGGCAGACTGAAATACAGCTCTGAAGATACCTTGTTCTCAATTAAAGGCTATTCTGCAATTAGGTTCTGCTTTCACACCAGCTGATTTTATTTATCCGAAAGTTTGGAAACAGGGATAAGTGTCACTTTGTCAAGAATTACAAAGCCATCAATTCCTCAGAACATAAAGAAAAAATGCAAGTCTAAGTAGCGACAAGAACAAATTAATTTTTAAAAAAGGATGCATATCCCTCACCTTTTAAAACTTATAAAGAATTGTCTGATGCCAAAAGTATTTTATCGTTAATGTAAGAAAGGTGCTACAGAAATGCAGAAGTTGATACACTCGTGCTTTTCATTTGTACGAATGCTCAAAGCGAAAAAGCCAAGTTCCAATATCTTGAAAAAAACCCCTATTTTTCTCTCCAGCGTGAAGACTAACAGTTGTTTCTTGACAAATTTGTTAAACATAAAAGCAACGCACTTCTCCAGATACCCTGAGAACTTAGTTCCATGAAACGTGGGAAAGGCTACCATTTATATAAGCAACTGGGTGGACATTTTGCACTTGGAAGTCAGCTAGAAGTCAGAGCTATAAACTGCGTTTGCAAGTCAGTTAGATGTTTCTGTACCTGATTCCTGGCAAGCCATTTTTCCAGCACAAGAAGCCAAAGCCATGCTGTTCTCCATGGGCTAGAATTCTGTCCCCATCTAAAAAAGCAAGAAGCACATACACTGGATTATACAAGGTCCAAGATCTAGGAAAACACTGTTAGAGATAGTTTTGATTTCTGTATTTCTTTGTGTAAGATAAAACCAAAGATGACTAGAAAGCTGAAGACAAGTCAGACAGAAAACAATGAAGAGGAACCTGAATATTGGTGCTGCTTGCACATTAACTCAGTGATTTCTGCTGCGCAGATAACTGCTTTTAGGTTGGCCATATACCACAGGCATAGTTCTTCAAAACAATTGCACTTATTTCTGGTGTAAAGTTCAGTCGGTATAGTCCTCTTTGAGCAGTTCAGCAGATTTCTCTGTAATGTGACCACTTGCCAAGCACTGCTATTTCCTGTTCTGTCAATTTCTACCCGAAAAACTGAAACACTTTTAGGTCACAGCAGCCCAAGTGCAGCTCTATGCCCAAACTAAAAATGAAGCAATGTACTCATTAAACAAAGAATCCCTCTAATTTTCTTCAGCTTTTCACATGTTCCACTTGTATATACATCCCAAAGTCTATACAGTTATGGAACATATTCAGTACTGTCAAAGGGACTAGGAAAAAGAAAAAGCACAATATAATTTATTCTCCTCTAAAAATCTCAGCACTACTAACTAAAACCTTTAGATGTGATAGCCTGTCTATCAAAGATAAAAAGACTGAAAATGCTCATGTTTCACATGGCTATTACCAATATTCATCTAACCATGTGCACACCTTCCTCCAGACTCTAACTGCTGTTAGTGTAAATTGTTTCTTAGAACCATTACAAATGTGTAGAAGCATGATCATCTGATTAAACAGGAGGAATACCAATATTCCCTGAAGTGCCAGAAAGTCACCCTTCATATGCACCTACTTGAAAAGCAGTGATAAAACGTAACTAGGATTGAGTAAAACAAATGCCATTTCAAATTCCGGTGTGAGAAAAATAAGAAATCAACAGCATAATTTGAGTTTTTTAGAGTTTACATTTTTAAAAACTGTGAGGTTTTTCAAGAGCTGGAGACAAGAGAACATTTTGAATAACTCCAGGGCTCATCTTGGTGGTTTCATTTCTAAATTAACCGAGGCTCAGTGTCAAAGGAATGTAATTTCAAAAGTTGTTCTTTCTCCTTCAGCAAAATCTAACAAAATCAGTTCTGAAATGCTTACAAGTAGTTTTAAGCTTGTCTCAAACACCATGTCAGCCACGTAAATGGACACAGCTCGTTATCCCAGTGGCCTGGGAAACCTGCTATGTTCGTGGTCAGTGATAGTGTGTCCACGTTTAGATAATAGGACCACTAGGAACACCGAAGGCACCGAAGCACTGAAATAGGTGCTACTTCCCAGATCCCACCAGGCTCCCCACACAAGTCCGCTGAGCCAGAGCAGTACATTACTTACCTCACCCCCACGGGGCACGCTACCAGAGCCTGAAGAATTGCCTCCACCTTCCCGGGACCGTCACCGCGCCCCTGGCTCAGCTGGGGCACGCAGGCCTGCGCGAGCTCCCAGTGCCCATGCCGCACGCACTCGCAGAAGAACCCAAAAAGACGCTCCACCGAGACCGCTTCTTCGCTCCCGAAAGAATGCATCTTCCCGGGACGAGGGGTGACACAGGCGCGTTCCCTGTCGGGGCAGGGCGCGGCCGCCCCGGCGGCGCTGGGCTCTACTGCACGGCACTGGGCTTTACTGCACGGCGCCGGCACCTCCGCCCCGCAGCGCCGCCATTTTGGCCGCTGCCATCTTGGCCGCCGGCTCAGCTGAGCGCCCCGCCGGGCGGGCACGCGGGCAGGACGCCCGCCCATTGGCCGCGCCGCGCCGGGATGTAAATAAACCGCCATCTTTGCTTGGGGCGCCTGACGCCGCCGAGGGAGCCCGGGCAGCGCCAGCCCCGCCCTCCCCGCTAACCACGCCCCTTTCCCGCCCACTGGCATCACGCGCCAGCTCCGCCCCGTGCTCGGGCCTCGCGTGGCTCTGATTGGCTCCCGCCCGAAGCTCCGCCCCTTGGCTGGGACGCGGGGTCCGTGAAGGGGGGAGCAGGGCGGGGTTTGTGCGAGTGCTCTGTGGTGGCGTGTGGGTGTGGGGTGTGTGCAACTGTGCACACCGACAGAGAGAGAGAGGGGTGTGCACAGGGGTATAGACACGTCTCTGCGCGTACATTTACCCCTTGTGTAGCTGTATAACCCTGTAGGTATACTGTATGTATACCTCACTCTGGTACATGTATATATATATATATACACACACAGAAGCGTATCTATACCCACATATATACACCTATGCTTACATATACCTATACATATATAGGTATATACATATATACCTATACATATACCTACAGCGTATACGCCCACATATAGGTGTTTATATACAGTGTACACACCTAGACCTGTATAGGTGTATACAACAACCCACCTACGTCCTGAGGACCTCGCTGCCACCGTCCAAGCTCGCTTGGCCCCGGCAGATGAACCTTAGGATTAAAGGGTGGGCTCAGTTCCGCGCACACTGTGTCTCACCTAAAAAATCCAATGCGCAGGCTGGAAGGTGGAAAGACCTTCCCCGGATCTTCGCTCGCGAAGACTGGCCCATTATTATTACACACCTAGACCTGTATAGGTGTATACACCTATATATAGGTGTATATATAGTGCTGCAAGTTGTGTATATATATTATTGTTTATATTATTTTATATAAATAAATAAAAACAATATATTTTATTATTTTTTTTTATTATTTTTATCCCACTGAGAGAAGCACATTGAGAAGGCAGAACTGGTGTCAATAAATAAATTACTTGGGGTTTATATGTATTACATATACAAATAGAGTACTTTATGCACACACAGAGAATTTTAAATAGTTGTGTAAAAACATGTAGGTACAGGTGCAGACAGAGCTCCAGCCATGGCTGGCCAGGTGCTCCTGTGCGGGGCAGCGGGGTCCCCCTGCCCTCTCACCCTGTTATTTGTGAGCTACCCCAGCAGGACGAGGCGCAGAGGGCCGTGACTCAGCTGCTGGGCTGGGTGGTGTCCAGCCGGTGTTTGGCAGAGATAAGCCCCCCCCTCAGCATCCTCCCTTTATTCCGGTTTTTTTGTTTGCTTTTGTCCTGACGCACAAAACAAAAACTCCTCTGTGGAGTGCTGCGGCGAGGCAAGTGTAAGAGGCAGAGCGGTGATGACAGAGGAGAGGTGTGCCAAAGTAAGTGACTGAGCGAGTCCCCAGGGCTCCTGAACGGAAAATACGGGAAGGGAGCTATGTCCATGTGCACATGCTGGGACCCACCAATAAACCGCGTAAGATGCTGCAGGAGTTTGTACCATTAGCTCCTACGGCTTCCCGAGTATTTTTAACCTGTCCTGTCAACTCCACATCAGCAGATAAATGGCGTGTGGGCAGTCATGCCTCTGAACTTTCTCCAGCCATGCCAGGCAAGCTGTAACTTATGAGACCATGTCATTGTTGTTCAGTCTAGTGAGTTCTGATACCCTGTGCTTTTAGTCATGGTGCTTACTATGGCACAGCTCTGCACAAGTGACTTCTCAACCTGTACTTTCACTCTGGGGTATTATTTTGTATCTTGTCTCTTCTCTAGGCAAGAAAGGAGCTTTAGTGGGACACAAAACCTGTATGAGGATGGACTTCATTTATCCTGGGATCTTTAATGCTTATTATGCACTCTAATTGATTTATCCAGTTTAAAGTATTTCCCTACAGTCAGGCTCCTTCCTTGAGAAGCTGCTTCCTTGTGTTAGATATGTCAGGTGCTTGATGCTTTTCTTTTTTTTACAAAGTTCAAAACATACCTGCAGGAGTCATCTGCCCACTTCTGCAAGGGTAAATGTACATTATTAACAATCAGCAGTACTACTGTAATTTTTGAAGGTACTTTTTAATTAATTTCTTCCAATATTGACCTTGTTAGGAATTAGAGGTTTATTAATATATCTGTGAAGTTGTAAAGGTAGCTGGATGTAAATATCAAAGCTAGAAAATGAGTTGCATAAGGTCATCCTAGCAGAAGATAGAACTAGTATATTGAAATTAGGAAATGAGGAAATCTTGAATTTATGTGTGCATGTTGTGCAGGTCTTCTGGCAAAACTGTCTGAATTTTTACCTTGGAACACTGGAACGATAAAGCTCTTCTTATCTAAAACAGGGTCTGTTGTGCATTGCCTTGGAATATTATCAATGTTACTCAAGTTGCTACTAACGTTTAGTGTTTTATAGCAGCTTCTTTCTAAGTGAATCTGCATAGGGAGTGATTACATGCTGCAGTGTGGTATTCTGACATTTACATTTTAAAACAATTTCTGAAAACGAAGAGTCTCAAAATATCCCTATCACTTGTTTCCAAGCTCTCTCTTTAATATTTCCATGTTGGCTATAGCCTGTATTATTTCCTCCAGTAACCATCAAAACTGTTAGAGAATTACTTGAAAAAAGTGAATGTCTTTGGATGGAGTTTGCAACTACAGGTGTCTGTGAAAGGGACAAAAGTAAACCCACCAAGAAGCCATTTTCTACCTTTGAAAGAGTGTGACTTTTCGAAGTCACCTGTGAGGGCGTGGTGAAAATGCAGCAGCAGGGCAGCATCTCTGCTGGCTTTGCACTTTTATGATGGAGCACAGAGGCTGCCCGGCCTGGTGTAAAGCCTGCTGGTGCCAAATTAGCCCGCCGAAATCTGGTAACGAATTTGAGTTGGCACAGTAAGTTCATGCAGTCTGTGCTCTGCATCATGCTGCCACAATGCTTTTCCTCTGCTGCATGGAGCGCTGCAACCAGTTTTATTGTGTCATCAGACCACAGCAGCCATTGCCATCTCATCCCAGGTGTGCCAGCCTTCTGGGTCCTGTCCCCCCACAGTTCCTGCAGCACCTTCTCTGGTCTTGGGGAGTGACATCAGTCACCTGAAGGCAGTAGTGGGTGTTCCCAGAGCCCTGCCTCCAGGGGTCTCCGTCACACAGGTCACTCAGGTAGAGCAACGACAGTGGCCACTCACTCCCCTTGCTGACAACAATTTTGGTCGAACACTGCCCAGGGGGGCCAGCAGTCTTGTCAGGCAGCCAGTGCCTTGTCACCAGGCACTCACTTATTGGCAGCCCTCTCTCTCCCCTCAGATGCCAGAATACAGAATTTATACTGAGAGTGCAAGAAGTACTTCAGGCCAGAAATATTTTTGAGTTCTTTTGTGCATGTAAAAAATAAAACCAATTTATATTAGGTGGCCAAAGCAGCCATTAAAACTTCTTTACCCACATCACTGACTGCAGCCATTTTTCTTTCACTGTTCCCTGCAGGTGGAGCAATATGTTGGTGAAATTAAAGGTGGCCTGAGACCAGCCATGAAACTCACAGTCATAGGGATGGTACACTCCAACCCAAAGAGGTAGGTGAAGGTGGGGGATTCACCATGTCATACATGCTTCTACCTGTTTTCTAAACTCAGCAGCTTTCTTGGAAGTCTGTGCTCTTTGGAGGAAGAAAGTCAAACAGATTAATAATTTATAGCTTTACTTAGGTTTCCTGCACTTAGATCAAAGGTCAAGGAGGAGTTTACTCTTTGACTTTGCTGGCTGCTCTGACAGGATTTTCTACTCCTTGCCCTTATCTAATGTGAACTAGAGGAAAGCACACAAGTGGCATTTCTCCTCCAGGAAGAGATGCAATTCTCAACCTGCATCTTGGTTGTCTGCTGGGGGTTGGAATCAACACCATTTAAAAAGCAATCTGACATGAAATCAACACCTGTCTGTAGTCTTTAAAGCATCTATCATGTTCACCATGTCCTTTAACATTTCTGAAAGCTCCAGTAATTTAACTGGGTTTTTTTCAGCTTTTCAGTGACTCTGCTCTGTGATCCAGTGGATTCAAACAAAGATGTTGGGATGTTATTTACAGTTAACTTCAGTGAGAAATCCATCACCCGAAATGCACGAATTGGTGGGAAATGGGGAAGAGAAGAGAAGACTATTCCGTACTTTCCATTTACAGCAGGCGATACGTTCAAGGTAATCTTTAGGGTATTATGAACAGGGTAGAGAAAAGGAGGGGAGAAAGGTTGAAGGCTATGTATGTGACCACAAATAGCTAACTACTGGCATTGACAGGTTAACTAGTCTAGTATGGCACAGACAGCAACAGTTCAAGCTCTGATGATAGAGATGCATTCCTTTCTCCAATCTTAGTGAGAGTACTCCCTGCAAGGAGCTTTGCAGTATCATCTCAGCAGCGGCTGTTATTTATTAGGGGATTTCAGAAGAACTCGTAGACTTTGTACTTCACTACCCCCGTAACATTTGGTTATAAATCCATGCTGGTGAAATCAACCCTGCTGCTGACCTCTAACACCCTTCCCTGTCCTTTTCCATTGCAGATGGAGCTCTTATGTGAACACCAGCAAATACGCGTCTTGCTTGATGGACGGCAGCTCTGTGACTTCACTCACCGCATTCAGCCTCTGAACTTGGTGAAAGCTTTGCAGATCTCAGGGGATATCAAGCTTACCAAAGTGGCTTGAAAAAAAGGAGACTACAATATCACCGGAGGACAGAGGAAAATGTACTTTTTCTTGTCTGAGAAATGTTTAATCTCTTTCCTCTGGTTGATTCCGGAGAGTGGGAACTGTATTTTTTTGATTTGCTGATGTGTTTGAGATATATGCTTTTTTTTCTCATACGCAGTCAGCAATTGCAGAGCTATGGCTGGTCTGGGTAAATCTGAGAGAAACTTTTGGCCTCCCAAACTGCAAGATTGATGATGCTGTGCAGTATCTCAGATCCTTGTGATCCCTTAACCCCTCCACGTGTGCCAGGTGGCAGAGCTCAGTCCTCTGCAGGGGGTGGCTGTTAGCCTTGTGACTAGAACTGGGCATTATGTAGGTGGTGAGAATGAGAAGAGAGAAGCAGGAGACTTTCTTGTAAGTCAATAAGGGAATCTGATGGGCCCCAGCAAGGGGGCACATTGTCGGGAGGGAATTGCTTTTTCTGGAAGCTCTGCTCAATCAACACAAAGCCATCTGGGCTTCCAAGTACAGATTGCCTTACCAACATCCCTGTCTCTTCCAGGTAGCTTTTCCTGAATTGAAAGGTTTCAACAGCCATGGATTTCACAGTCTTCTCTGGACCAGGCCTAGGATATAGTATCTGTAGCTGAAACTGCATTGACCATTTTTGTATATAATTAAAACTGCATCTTTGCTGGCAAACTTCTTTAAATAAACTCCATTAAAAATTTGAACACATGTAAGCGTTGTGCTGTTATTTCATTGCCGTAGCTTTTGAAGAAAGTCCTACATACATGGCTATTCTAATAAATATATAAGCATATATCATATGCTGCCTTTGGTGATAAGACTATTTTTTAGTACCCAACTTGGAGAACATAAATTCTGAAAAGAGATGGGTCTATGAACAGAGAGCTATCAAATTCCTCTGTAACTTCAGGGAAGATATATAGCATATTGCCTTCAGAGGGCTTTTGAAGGTTCTGATGAGCTTGGCCGTCAGATACAGGTACTCAGATAAAACAAGAAATTTTATAAAAATAGTAAATCAAGTGTTTTAATAATTTCCTACATTCCATTTTACCCTCTGGTGTCTCAGTTTATGTATAAATCTAAAATTACAGTGAATGAAACCATTATTTTTCATATACTCAAACTGCCCTCTGAGAAAAATCATATTTCTAAAGAGCACAGGTTATTCAAACTCACTGTTTTGGGGGTTTGTTTTTTTGTTTGTTTGTTTTTTAATATATATATTTAATGATATTAAAGACAAGTTTAGTAGACAAATAATGGAAAAATTAATGACCTAAGATAGAAAAAGCAATAACCATATCTGCTACTATAATTCTCAGCCCAAATGGTTCTCCAAGATAAATGGACTTATGGTGATAATTGAAAGAAAGGTCTTGCTTTTATGACTGAGTGATTTCTTTCAATATATTCAGCACCAGTAATTGTCTGGAACTGCCATGGGTCTGATTTGATACTCAGGATCCTGTACTGCTCTGGTATTGTTACCAGCACAAGAGTAATCTATATAGTGGAGAAGAAGATTCTTTGGGGTTTTTTCAAGTCTAACAGAGAGCCAAATAGTAAAGCAGATGGATGGACAGGCAGATCCCTTGTTTGTTTTGCAGTACTGATTATCCTGGCAGCTGGATTGTGGCTTAGCACAAGATTCATGTGGTATACCAAGAAAGGCAACCTCAGACACCAGCACCTTCCATGACTTTGATGTTTCAGCCTTAAAAAATTAGTTTATGAGCCCCTTTATAAAGGGGAAATAAGCAAGACATTTCTGCTTTAAGGTAAAGCACAACGTGGATCTGTCAGGTATAAACTGAATACTTGTACAAAAGATTCTTTTCTTCCATCTCAGAATACTGTATCTCATCATTTCATTGTAAAGCCCCATTTGTCTGTATCCACCTATTGTCTTTTGTCTCTTTATTGGATGGTAAATTCTTGGTGGAGAATTATTCTGGACGTTAAGACACCTAGGATGCTGGTCTGCCAGGAATTGCTAAGTGTTATGGTAATTCAAATAACAGAAATAGACTACCAAGGGGAAAACAATACTCCCAGACAATGAGAGCAGAAAACTTGGTCACAGCTGTGACTTGTCATTTGGCATGGAGTCCACATTACTCATGTCAGTGGTTTGATTGCCTCAATCCACTGCACTCGCTCTGCCTTGGAGCTGGCCTGGATATAATAATGAATGTCGTTCTTGGTGATGATTTTGAAGAGATTACCTTGCACATTGCCCTTAACTCCTGCAGAGAGGAAAGAAAAAAAAAGATCAGGAAAGTGCACAGAGAAAGGTTTTCTGGCAGATATGAAGCTTCATAGGGAAGAATTTAAATTTAGTGAAGTATGGAATCAAATATTCCCTTTTATTATGGATAAGACCTCTAAAGCTTTGATTTTCCTTCTGCAAAATCCCTGTAAGTGTTCAAGGCCAGGTTGGATAGGGCTTTGAGCAACCTGGTCTAGAGGAAGGTGACCTTGTCCATGGCAGGGGAGTTGGAACAAGATGATTGCTGGGCTCCTTCCAACCCAAACCATTTGATGATTCTGTGATTGTATGGAAATAAAGATATAGTATAGACATTCCTGCCATAGATTGTATGAACTATGTGCACTATGCAACATATATATAATAGTCTCTCTTTAGATGGAGACTATTACTCGAGTTATACACTGGAGGGATGAACTCCCTACCAGTTTGTACAGTAGATAGGTTTGCTCCTGCCCATATTTGGGTTCCTCCTAGCAGGGAAATCTATTGTCTATCATGTCCCCCTGCCCCATACCAAAGCTTTTATAGACCCTCTCTTTAAAAGATGTTCAGTATTCGAGATCCACACACTGTGCTTACTGTCATAAAATAAATTGCTTCAAAAGCAGAAACATCTGCTCAGCCAGGGTTTTAGACAAATGCCTAAGCTAAGCATATGCTCTCACAGAACTGTTTTTTGTATTGCTGTGTTTATGTCTCCCCTACATTTGGCTTCTAGCAGATCAAAAAGGAAGAGGTAATAGCATAAGTAGAAAGGGCATGCAGAAAAGGGATGGCATCAGAGGATGCCTCAAAACTTTGAGTTAAACATCCAAAATGAGGGTATTTCCTGTTTGTCTGTTAACGCTGGAATATTAATCAGTGTCTTAGGACTGTTTCAGAGGTCATACGACTAAGAAAAGTCCATAAAACCTTGGAAAGACCCAAGGTACATGGACATAATGCTAAAAAAAGTGCCCTTTGGTGTGGATAACCCAGCTGTACAGGGATTTGTGACATGCCTCTTCTCCTGTTTGTGAAGGGAAATGAAGGGCCAGCACACTTGTGCATACAAACAGCCATACACACAAACCCATCCCCGAAGACTGCATTGCTGTGTCATAAATACGTATGTACAAAAGTTTAGAGGCTTGTACTTACCTGCTGGGACTCCATTGTCCTCTAGAGCTGAGACAAGACAGCCACGGAGGGAGAACCCACCGACTGGTTTGTTTTCTTCCTGCAAAGAAAAGGGAAACAAGGCTTAGCTGGAAAATATCATTAAAATAATTTCCCAGAGCACATACATTATTTTTAGGAAGTTGGGGATGTAATGCCAGTCATTTCATGTATGAAACATCCATTGACAAAAGAAGTCAATTAGAACATATAATTAAGTCTTAGATATTTATCTGATGTGGAGATCAGTTTAAAGCACAAGGGTAAGCAATCACATTTCAGACTTATGTATAGTTTTATCAACAACACACATTGAGTATTATATATATATTTCTGCAAGTTTTTAGCTTCCTGCTTTTTGCTGAGACTTTATGAGAAAAATGTGACTGTTTTCACTAGCTGGCTGGTGCTCTTGTTTCTTGCCTTCAGGTTCTGCAGTTTGAGTTTATAGTATGACAATGGTGAGTTCCAGAGGTAAAAAAAAACACAAGGGAACAGGCAACAAAAAGTAAACATGCTCTAAAAGTTTTTTTCACTGGTATATTTTTCTGTTTTCTTTAAAAGTCACATAAAACGTTTCTATACATTATATTTTTTTAGCAATCCTGTTGGGCTCTGTTGTACCCTATGCATCTGGGTTGCTCATAGTGATTATTATGTCTATGAAGATAAATTCTACTATTCCATGAACAAATTTAAAACTGAGCAGTAGAAATTCCTATAAATACTCTGTCATCAAGGAGACCCTATTCAACGTTAGAATAAGAATGTAAAAAATCCTGGTACCAGTATGACCCTCAAGTGTTGGGATATCAGCCCAGAAAGATCACATCCCAGGAAGAATCCCTGCAGGACCATGGTCCCAGATTCTGTGGGTGCAGCAAAAGACTAATCCTCAGAAGACTTCTGCCCCTTGGCTAAGGAAAAGGAATCTCACTGTGAAAAAGACAGGATGGAAGATGCAGGATACAAAATCCTACAAGGTCAACCTCCTAGGGTAAGGTCAGAGAGGTTTAATTCCCCAGGAAATGGGTAGAGGAACCCAGAAAGAGACCTGTGTGAGAGAAATATTTACAGCATAACTGTATTTTCATTATAATATTTAGATCTTCAAGAGTATTTCTAGGGGTGGTAACTTCCCACTCACGTACCTTAGTGGGGTCATAGTAGTGCAAAAAAGCAGGATCAGCTCTCAAAACAAATTTCCTCACCTTCCAGTTTTTCCTCTTGTGCCCCTGAAAAATGGAAGAATTGAAGTTACCACCTCCTGAAATGGCCATTTTCCTGCAGGCTGTAGGGGAGACATAAATATGTAGCAAAAAAAAGAGCTTTTGGAGCCAACAGAGAAAAATCTTTCCTGACATCTTGGTAGTTCCCAGAATTTTCTCCTTATCTTCCTTCTTCACACATTGATAATTCCTTCCTCTCTTCCTTCCCTGTGCTGAGAACTAACAAAGCAAAATGACAGGACCAAATGAACATATCCCTGATTCCCTTTTAATATTAAATATGGGTCTCAGATTAAAACTCATGCCGTGTATGCTCTGAAGGGATTATGTCAGATCCTTTTGCAGCTCTGGTTTTGAGGTTCTGGGTGCTGCCCCTTGCTGCTGCTGACCGTGGGAAGAAGCTCCTGGACAGCTTTCATGTCCTGTGGTGATGGAGGGGCTGCCCTGCCAGCCTGTGGGGATCCCCCAGTGCCCCATCAACCCTTGTGGCACCCTGGCAGCTGAAGGAGGGAGGGTTGGGAAGCATCTGGTGATCCAGTTTGCACAACACCCAAAGTCAGAGCTTTCAGTACAAAGCTCCAGAGTAGAACTGTGGCCATACAGTGCAGGTAGGGTTCCATTTACACGTGGCTGTGTTATGCTTTGAAACAGCATGATTGCCCCTCATCTTTTTCACAGCAAGGATAAGAAATTAAATCTTGCAGACCAATCCTTTAAACAGTTATTGCCAACAGATTTCACCGCCACCACGGCACCCACATGTGACATGAGTGACTGCCCACAGGTAAATGTCCACTTCATAGAAAAGTCAAACTACTCGGCTTTGAAATTTGTCTGTGGCCAGCAAAGCATCATCACTGCTCACACTACCCAGATGGGATACATTAAACCAGAGGAACAGTGGCTCTGCTTGGAAGTGAGTGTAACACCTCTGGTGGCATTTGGAGCTTATGTTGGACTTTTGCTTCTGACACTGTTTTGTACCTTTCAGTATACACTCAATATATACAGAATATCCAATTAATCTTGCCTGAGCAGCAAGTTCCATAGCACACTTCTTTATAACTAGATCCTCTTCACTGCGTGATCTCTACCAGTAGTTCTGACAGGCAAGTTAGTTCTGCTGGCCACCACTCTTCAGCCCTGCTTGTGTAAATCACATTTATTCTCTAAGAAACCCTACTAGCTGCCATTTCTTCTGTTTCCCAGTGCAAATTCAAAGACTGTGCTTACCTGTTTCACTAAGAATCCTTGCTTCACAATTGTGCCACTTAATTCAGAGATGTTAAATTGTACCTCTTCCTTGGAACTGGTATTTTTCTTACCACTCTCAGCCTGCAAATAGGGTAAAGATGGTTTCATTTTTCTTTTTAATCTAAACACACTTTTAAGTACAAAATCCTGCATTTTATTTTCCTTGAGCTGTTTTTAGCCCGTATTTCCTGAGTGAATTCTACTCCATAGCTTTGCTGCTAAACTTTGTAGTCCCATGATTAACAAGCACGTGCTGTGTACATGCATTGTGACCCTGAGCTGAAGTAGAACTGCAGCATGGCCTCCAATACATGCAGACACAGCACTGCACTCCAGGGACACACCCCTTTTAATGACCAATTATGTAATTTGTAGATCCCTCTCTAACCATGTAGCTACTCGCCTCCAGCAAATGTGCCAGTGTTAGTACTAACAGCCTAGAGCTGCTCCTTCTGCATATTCACTTTCTCAGCCTTCATATTTTGCCTTTGATTGCAAGCTCTGTGTGTCCTCTTCACCACTACCCCAAATCAAGCATGTGACAAGGGGCAGAGGATGTGCTGCTGTTGGCAGCTGCATCACTTACAAACATGTACAGTGCAGTGGAGTCGTCAAGGAATTTCTCAGAGGGGTCGCTGAAGCGCATGGCCTCAGTGCTGCGGGTTCCCACAGGCCTGATGAAGTTCTCATCCATCAGCATGGATGCCAAGGTGACAGCCTCAAATCGTGACACAGCAAAGTTGTTGGAAATGAGCCAGTCTACCAGGGCAGAACCTGCAGAAAGAAAGGCAGCTCTCATACCAACGCAGTGTGCTCTTCTGAGGCAGGGCAGGTGGTCTCCTGCCACACATTTTCACTTGCTGAAACGTTTTGACACCATCACAAAGGTTGTTAATGAAGTGCAAGGTTGACCCTGTGTGGGGTCCTATGAGTGCTTCCATATATCGAAAGAGCCAGAGAGAAAGGTGTTGGAGAGCTTGGCTGCACCACAACCGAGCCACAACTGCCATATGAAAGGAGGATAGCAGCTCCCTTGCCTCTGCAGTGCGGCGTGTCAGATGTGAGGTGGCTCTTTGCCTGCAGTAGGTGTACCTGTGAAGGTCTCTTTATATCTGTTGCCTTGATCCAAGTTGCGGGTCAGCTTAATTCCAGTATTGCTGTCATACATCCTCTCCACTATGTCACTGTAAGTGAGAGCACAGCACATCAGTAGATGAGAAAGATAGGCAGAAATTGCCATGTACTTCTGTCAGCTCTTGGGGTGTCCTCATGATTACCTACATAAAGATGAGAAGAATTCTAGGTACTCCCCCAGAATATTCGTCCTAAGTAAGTTCTAGGAAAAATTCAATTCTTCCAACAGCAGCATTAAACAAGACGCCTCACAAAGTATTTTACAATTTAAAGTACTTCAAACTGATCTATAGACAGCCTTGATTTACCTGCTCAAGGCAAATAAAAATTAAATGTTTCTATTTCCTAATCAGTTCTCTGTTTCCTCTTGTTTAACATGAAATCTTAGTCTGGATTCCAGCTACCAGCTCACCATGGCATGAACAATGTCACCACCCAGTCTTTCCCTGATAATTCATCTTCTGAAGTAATATATGAGGTGTTGGTGCAGAATCCACATACTCCAAAAAGATAATGGTCAGGAAAATGTGCATTCCCTGGCAAAAGTATGTGCAAACCTAGGACAGGGCAGCCAGTTTAGAGCTTCCTGGCCACATGGAAGTGGATCAGTGCAGAGTGGAGCTTCCCTTGACCCTCCCCAGCCATCAGATCAGGTGCTTTGCAAGCTAGAGAAATAGAAGGAGAAATGGCTTACACTTACTGTAGGCTGATATTATCTAGCAGTTTGAAAGAGTTCTTCATTCTGTGAAGTTCTTGTACCTGTACTGGGTGACCAGCATGAATAGCTCCAGTGATGTCCAAAGCCCAGGAGTCACGCTCCTCCCTGGAGCAACATTCAAGGAAATAGTCTGTATTGGTTTTTGTCTTTAGTTTGATGAGCAGCTGTGGAGAAAGATGTGCAAAGCAATAACATTGTTTAGCTGTTTCCCTCCTCTTGCATTTTGCTGCTTTTAGCACTGACCAAAGTGACACAAAGAAGTCTGATCCCACCTGAGCAGCTCAGAGTAATTCTTGTTCAGAAGGATTGTGGGCACAACTCTGGGTTTGGGTTTTTGTGTGTTTTTGCTACCATCCCCCTCAAATCCCTGAGTTTTCAATTCCAAGCATGATTCATATGCATGGAGGTCTCAGTACTTAAGAGAGCAGACCACAGAATGGATTACTGGAGTGTGCTGCTGACTGTGGAGCTTTTCACATCCAGGTCTCAACAACTACAAACCCTCACTAGGCTCTTTCTGCCATGAGAAGTCCTGAAATAATCAGCAACTTCCAGTCATTTCCGTTCTGGCCCCATGCAGAGGAAGTCTGTATTGCCGCTACCCACGGGAGAGCAGAGAAGTGCAGGAGGTACTAACCATTCCAGAGCCCTCTTGATGGAAACTTTCTACAGCAGCAATGTACCATTGATGAAGGAAAAGGGAGTCTGCTCTGTCTGCCTGGGGGCACCCCATGGATAAAGCCATGTTTTAAGGCAACTACCATAGATAATGTTTCCCTTTTTCCCATCCTCAGCTTTTATTGAACTGCTCATGTACCCTATGTTTTTTTTGTTAATGGTTGTGACTCACATTTGGGCACAGTGAAGGGCAAAGACACAAAAAGGGGGTTCATTGCCTCTCCTGGTTACATTGCTAATGGTAGCTTGCTTTTGACTGGGCTTAATTCTGAAAGCACCCCAGAGATATGGTTGCAGTAATCAAAGAAGTCAGGAGGAGAGGAAAAGACCGGTAAGAAGTTAGAAAGTGAGTGACATTGAGAAGAGATACATATTTTCAGTCATACCGGTCTGTTCTCATATTCCAGGCATGGACAAGTAATAGTGCAGCCATCCAAAAGGATCCTGCCCTTTGGAGAAGGCTCCTTCTTGCCTCCTTCAATTTTGTAATACAGCAGCTTATCCTGAAGCAGAACAAACCATCTCACTTTCCAGTTACGAACAACATGTCCCTAGAAGGGAAGAAATCCACATAGCTAACTTTAACACAAGCATTCAGAAATTACCATATTTTCATATTTTTTTCCTTCTTTTTGTTTTGTTGTGAAAATACCATAAACTAATAGGAAACTGCATGAAAAGAAATGAGAAAAGTCATCATGAGTCCTGTTCTCCCTGAAATACACATTTTTAGTAACAAAATAGAACAGCTCCATCACTATAAAATCACAGAGCAACAGAAAAGTGCTTTGCTCTTTTTCCAAAGAAAAATTCTTTGATGGCAAGAATTGTTTCTTGCAAAACTCATATGAATTATCTCAAAGAGCTGTCATTTAGGTGCACACCTGTCTAGTACAGGCAAGAACAGGGCTAAATACAAAATGCGTGAAGGCTCTTGACAACCAATTCCTCTTTTACAGTGACCCTGGGGGATGCCTTTTTTTCTTCATTTTGTTGTGACTCTAGATGCCAAGTGGTTTTGCAAATGCTTTGCTTGATGAATTAGCTTTTCCTTACCTCCCCTCTTACTACTAATGAGTAGTTAATTTCTATCCTACCTGTCTCCGATCTCCTGGGCTAAAACATTCCCTGTGCTACTGTTTCCTGCAAGAGAAATATGTTTTTTACTGACAAAACACTGAATAAAGGCTACTGCCGAATGCCTCCAGGATTATACCAGAATACAGACAAAACCTCCTATTTCCTCTCTGTAAACAGCCCCCAGCTCTCTTTAGTCTGGCTAAAAGATGAGCAAAGCCAGCGGGGGCTGGCACTGGCAGGCTCAGTCTTGTCAGATGGTGTCAGGTCCATCTTTGCCGTGTGAGGACCTGTGTTTCTACAGGCAATGGAATATTACAGCCAGCAGGCAAAGCATGGGGTAGAGGAAGCTCTGACACTTGGGAGAGGGTTGGCATGGCTAGAAAAAAAGGAAAATGTAAGGTCCAGTTGTGGCAGGAGTCAAAGCTCATTAATTCTCTGTGAATGAAGGGGAAACTCAGAAATTTCCAAGTAAGGGTGGAGTAATAAGTCTCTAAAATCCAGGGCATTTTAGATCCAATGTCTTCTAGTCTATACTAAATACAATTTATCTAACTTGAGGTTGTTCTCCTCTTTGCATCTCTCTGTGTTGTAAAGTCCCTTGGACATTTTTCCTGTATGTTCTTCGCTATAGCTCTTTTCTTTCCTTCTTGGAGACGTTCTCTGTTTCAGGAGGTTGCCTTACTTTTTTTACTTTATCTTTATCTGACTTCCACACATGTATTTTGTATTTATAATGCATTACGATACATAATTCAGTAATTTATAATGCATTTAGATCATCTCCTTGCTTCTGCTCTCTTCTTAAGAAAACTCTGTTTTCTTTACCTGATCCCATCCCTTCCTCCTTTTCTCTCTCTGGATCCCTGGATGTTTTCTCCCTCAGTTCCTTTTAGTTGCTTTGTTTGTGGTGTCTGTCCTATCAAACTGTGTGCCTCAGTGATGTTGTACAGCCTGCCGGCAGCCACAGTTCAGTGTGCTGTGATAACCTATTCCTCTCATGCACTTGCTGCCCTGGCTTCTCATCTTGAATTCAATACTCAAGAGCCAAAACCCACAACTCTAGCTCAGAAAAGAGACCAAGAGCTGGGGCTACTCTGTCCTTTCTGCTCAAGGGAGGAAGGGGAATAGCCCCTTCTCCACGTGGAGCATGGCTTCACGTGATCAGTGACTGGCTGGCTGACTGGCTGGGAGCCCTGCCAGGAGAGCTCCTGACCAGGATTACCTTCATGTTAGCACCAGAAACACTGCCACGTACCACAGAAAAGCATTTCCCAAGGCGTGGCAAAGCTTTGAACAAACCTCTGAATCACATTTTTTATATGAAACCAAGGACCATAATTATCATTGAGACAGGGTCATGGTACTAAGAGCAGTTATGTCACCTCCTAAATTGCCTTCTTGTGTCCCACCTCTGACTGACTTGATCTTGCAGGGAGAAGCATTGGGAAGGCTGAAATCTGTGACACATTCTTTCAGCTCTTTTCACCACATTTTGGCTTGAGGTTATGGAAGAAAAAAGTTATTTCAAATGCATTTTTATATTTGCATTGCTCTGAGCCCCTTCAAAAAGGATAACCTATTCTCCATTCTCTCATATGAAATGGGAAACCTTGCTCAGCTGAATCACTAAAGAAGGCACAAGCCATCTTAAGAGACTGTCAAAACATCTCCCCTCTCCCAGTCCTCCCACGGTCGCTTCTGCTGCTGCTGCAAATGTGCTCTTTGCAGAGGTGTGGGCAAGGTGCAGACATGTTGGCTTTCTAACACCTGAGCAATCCTGATACCTAATTCCCTTTCCTCTGGGTAAATGCCAACACAGGAAAACTTGAGGGTGGGTAGTGAACACCTGCAGTTCATGCAGCTCACCTGGCAAGCGTCTGCACAAACCTGGAGGAGCTCCTTTCCCAGGAAAAGGCAGGAGCCCCTCAAACCCAGCACCCAACAAGTTGCCTTGCCATGAGTCCAGGTTCGATCCCAGTCCCTGCTCAGGGGTTGCTTCCGCATTTCAGTAGAACTACACGAAGGGGGACCAGAGCACTCACCCGTTTGACAAGGAAGCCCTCCTTCAGGATTCCAGCTTCTTCCTGCATCATGGCCAGCAGGGAAGAGAGCGGAGCCACTGCCGAGAGTTGCCTGAGCCCTGGCAGCCTGTCCCTCTGCACATGATTTGTTTAAGAAAGCTCATTTTTCTTTGCTCCCCTCCTCCAGGGTGACGTACTCTCCCTACCCTGTTTTTTCCTCCCTCCCTACCTGTGAGACATTAGTACAGCAGTGAGCTGGCTCATACATTACCTGCCCTCTGGGAAGTAAAACAAACGGATGTCTAAAAAGAATCTTGAAAGAATTTCACAGAATTTAGTAGAGAAAAACCGACACAGAATGAGCTGGATAATATAAGTACCTACATGATGACAAATCAGGTATTGCATGGGAGAGAGAAGTAGAATTATAAAATAGCATCCCTCAAAACTTCAGACTAATCAACTTGCTTAAAACTTCTCGTCTAAAAAACACATCTCACAGGAGTTCTACAGATTAGCATGCTGTATAACAGATGGAATATTACGATTACAAGGAGACTTTTACAAACCTTACAGTAACTTCTTCTGCTAGAAATTTATTTTACCGAAGAAGGACCGAAGCACCTAAAAGACCACTCTACTTTCAGTGACCTCTGGACATATAAACCAAGACTCTCAACCTAATATCCTAAATCCGTACATAAGTGGGCTTTCCGTAAGGCAGTCTGATTCATGAACACTGTGCAGTGACCTCTTGTACCTCCTGAGAACCTCTGAAACAGAGTGCCTTTGTGTGTCTGAATACAAGCTTAGATGTTTATTGCATTTAAGACTTTGTCTTTTGTCCTGATGAAATAAACCAGTATTAGCATTTCAGGCAGCGCTGCTGTTCAGAAATGATTTGCTGTACTGTTAGCATTCCCTGACTTGTACTAAAATTAAGATGATATGCGTGGGCAGAGCTATGCCTGTGATAAGAAGTACAAGGTAGAGCGTAACAAATAAACAAAAGCACTTGTTGCTATGTAAAGAGTCCAAAGGTCAGTAAGACAAACTGACTCAAATATTTCAAGGCACACTTTCATGAACTGAGGAAAAGGAACAAACAAATAATTTCTTTATCTTTATGCTATTTTTATAATTTTTAGCTAGGAATAGCAAGACACACAGAAATGAAACTGACATTGTACCGGAAACAACCCAGAGAACAGTTCTGCAGAGATCATGAGAATACGAGTGACTGAACACTACTTGAAGTTAGAAAAATTGATTCTGCATAAAGAGAAAACATGCTGGCTGAGATTTCAAAAGCAGTGTGACCCATATGGAAGTTACCTATGTAGTTCCTACTGTACACCCTTTGCCTCTTGGAAAAAAAGCAGTCAGTCATGATGAAACTGGTTGCATAAGTAATTTCCCAGCATGTTTGTTCTTCAGTCCACCTAAACTAAGTACGGTAAGTTTAATAGAACACTTAAAAGAGTGTTTTGGTTTTTTCTGGTATGTAGTATTTTAAAAGTTACAAGTGGAAATTTCTGTAATTTTTAAAAAAGAAATATTTTGCCTTAAAATAATGCAGAAATTAACTGAATGTATTTATTTTAATTGAAAAATAATCTCCATCTGTGTTTGTGTGTATATATATATATGCATATGCATATATAAAATTGTATTCAGAAGCAGAATCTTGGAAAAAAAACCCTGATGCAGTAAACAGAAATCATAAAGAAGATTATTTTCAGCTCCCAATGTTCTCTACATCAGAATTAAACTGGAATAAAAAAGAAGAAAACTTGAGTATAGGTATACAAAAGACATTACTACTGCATGCATTTCCTGGACATGCACTCTTTATATAACCAGCTCCAGGAATACTGTGTTCCACAGTTCGGTGTTTGAGGTTTGAATTACATTGTTCAGCTTGTTACTGCAGGCGATTTATTACAAGGTGCTATTTCATACTAGAGAGGGCAGGTAGGAGCTTGCAGGGAGCTCTTGCTCAGACAGTGATCTCAGAATTGCTCCATAACCAGTCGTTGCTGAGGATCTGAAAAGCTCTTTTTCTCCAGCATGCAGACCACCCACAACCCTGCAGACGGATCCTGGCAAAACTAAAATTAGCAACAAAGAATTCTATTGTCAAACTGGTGGTGAATGGTGAAGCAAACATTGCTTTAGCTGGTCATTAAACAATAGGTTTTGTATCAACTACTTTTTATTATCTGGAGCCTTCACTTCCTTCAATACCTCAAAGCATTTCTTCAATACTTTGCATATTTATCATACACACACACCCCTTCCCCCCTGTCTCATTCTGTAGTTAATCAAGGCTGAAAAACTGCCCTTATATTGCACCCTGAGGCTGAATAAACACAGATCTTGCAAGGTCATATGGTGTAAAATGAGTCATTAGATCTGAATTGCCATATTCACACATGGGCTGGGGAGGCAAGTTCTGGCATTGAACTCCTCTGGCGGAAAGGGACATGATTCATTCCATCGGTATAAACCTAGGGAGCTTGATATCAAATATTCTGTGGGATTTAAAGTCATTGAAGGAGGAGCACCCATGTCCTCAGATACATTTTAGCATGTTTTCCATACGTCCATGTACTATTATAACAACAAGAACAGTTGAGTGCTTGACATTTTCATCCACTCAAAGTGACCCCAAAATGCTTTGTATGCTATAGAGTATGCATTAGGATGGCCAGGAAGAGCCAGCCAGCTTCAAGACCACAGGAAGCTAGTCAGGGTTCCAGAGACGGGCAGGAGCAGCCAGGTCTGAGTGCAGACTGTGCTACTTCAGCTGGTTGACCTGGCAGAATTGTTGTCCTTTAAGAAGCTACAAACAGCTGATTAAGAGACCCTGCCCAAAGGAAACCTCCGTCGCCTGCTCTGCAATGCTCTGTGTCCAGCATTGTGTCACAGGAGGCACTGCCTACACCAGCTTTTTCAAACCAGCTTCTTAAGGTGCCAGGACTTTGCCCTCCAGTGTAAACTCCATTAAATATTTAGTTCCTTAGTGGATTAAGGGTGGAAGATGATGAAAACAAACCACATCAAAACAAAGAATGATGAAACATTTCTAGATAAAAGTGAAAGAAAACAAGCATTCAAAAGAATTCTGACGTAACAGCACTTTTAAAATCAACTGTAGAAAGGAGGAGTGTTTGGAAACAGTGGTTTAATTGTCTAGGCTCTGGAACAAACAAAAAAACCCCTATCAGAAATCAAATCCCAAAGTTCAGCTTCTGCTATGAAGAATGACATGCTAGCTCCACTGCACCTAAAGAAAAAAACCCAGGGGGCAGAATCAGAGACAAAAAAAGCAAGGAATTGTCATTGTATTAAAAACCAGACAAATCACAACAGCCACAAGCAAGCAGGGCACCCCTTCTTCAGCCACTATTTCCCCTCACCAGAAACAGGATACTGGGATGTGCGTTACTGGACTGCGAGCTGGTAACCCTGTTTAGGTTTTTTTTTTTCCTGAATTAATGAGTCCTTATTAGATGTTGTAAGTAAAACTCTTCCCAAGCTGTCAATCTTACAAAATTAATTTGGGGTATGAAAGTCAAGCTGAGATCCTTACAATTAACACATCAAGCCAAGCCCTGCCTACAGGTATACCTGTACTTTTCCATTGGCTAGTCCATTGACTACACAAGTGTAGGCGATCTTGGCCTTGTGATTACAACTGAGTCAACAGCACAGCAGCTAATGAGCAGCAGGAATGTGCTACCCAGCTTTAGCAACTCAACAAAGGCATTCACACAAAACCCAGACCCTTATTTTAAGCACTTGGTAAGCAAAGGCAGTTCCATAAATAGGAAGGATAGAGGTTGAGATAGAAGGTATCATCTCAGCATCTCTAATGATCCTTCAGTGATGGAGCACAGCTGACCCACAGCACTCCCTTACGCATCTCTGGCTGAAAGGCCTCTGGAACACCCACCTTACATCTCCTCCTTCAAGCTTCTGCAATGCATGAGAAGGATTCACCAGGTTGTCTTGTGTCTTCTATTTGAGCTTCTTGGTTAAAATTTGCTCAGGAGAGCAAATCAGGAGAGCCTGGTTTTATCTGTCAAGATAGTGAGTGATTGAAATGCATTTATTTGAACCTGCTTTGTTACTGCCCTCATCATATTGGTCATTTTTTTCAGGCACTCAAACTTGACACAGAATTGTGCCCATGAGAGTGCTCCAGCTCTAATTAGACAGGCTCTGGAAGCCATGGAAAAAAATGTAGTAAACTTTTGCCTCAGTTACTGACGGAAACTGTGCTCAGCTATCAACGCACCTGAAACAGCTCTTAGAAATTGTAACATTTGTAATCCCTTGATAGCACTCCTTGCTTCCTTGGAGCACACGTGGCTCCTTTTTCAGTGCTTTCCTTTACAGCATTATTTTGGCATGCAGACCGCATGGTGACTAAAGTTTTAAAATACTTTGCTATTTAGTCTGAGTACCCACCTATTGTGTTTAATAGAAGTCAAATCACTATGTTAGCAAATGGGCACAGTTTGGAAGAGCTGTTCAAAGAGGAAACTTACGTTATCACAAGGCTGTCATACACAGAAGCTGAAAAGAAAATTTGAGAAAATAACCATTAAAAAAATATTTGTTACTTCATTCTGTGATGGCACATTCAAGTATTTTCCAACATTCTGCGAAGACTGAAAGTTATTTAACCTTCCTGACTTTGCATTACGAGTTGGGTACACGTGAACTTCCTTGATACCTCAGCATGGATTGCAGTATATATGCCCTTTGGGAATGCCTTTTGTGGCCAACACCACAGAGCAATTATATTGTTTGTACTGTGGCAGTGTTAAAAATTCCTATTTAAGGCTCAAAGCCTCATTTTTCATGCATTTTCCTCTAGCAGCATAAAATATTGAGAAAAAAAGGAGATGGGCAACATGTGACATGACAGTAAAAGAAAAATACATAAACACATCTAAAAATTTAGCAATTTGGAAAGGTTACTTAAACAAGCCCCAACTCTACCACTTCAATTACCACTGACAAGGAAAACAGGATTTAATTTTTTTTTGTAGATTCCAATTTAGAAAGCACATCTTGTTTCTCTTCTTCAGAGAAGATAAACAGACTGTTTCTAGAGTGAACAGTTCAGTCCAGTATAAATGGGATTTAGGGTAGGCAGAACTGAAGGTCATGCAGCAGTGAGCTCACAAGACAGTGCTGCCCATTTTGAAGTATCACTAAGTTCATTAAAGTTCCTGCTATATTCAGCTATAGGAGCAAAGTGCAAGTATACATACTTTTTCATTTATTAGCTATGTTTATTGGAATGGTAACAAGCTATTTTCAAACTTTTCAAGTTCTAAGTCCATAAATGCAGATGACAAACTTGCACGACAAACATTTTGTTCCACTCATTCTTGGCTTGATTTAAAGCAAACAAAAGTAAGACCTTTCAATGTTAAAAGGGAGTCACCCATTGATTGTACTGTTCCAGGTTTTATATTCATACCACTCTAGGCCATGTGACAAAAGAAGAGAAAAATTCCCAAAGCCTTGGAGTTACATAGCCCAGAAATTTATTGAATATTTGCTCAAATACATTTTTAATAGAACTGTTCAGCTTGCTTGGTTTTGCTGCTCCCATGACAGATCATTAACAGATGCACTGAACTGTAATCACCAATTAGGAATTTTTATGTATGCAAGTGTTAAGCATGGGACTGCAAACGCCTTCTGGACAGATCTGTGACTAGGAACCTTCCTTTCAAATGATTCAATTTGTGTAAGTTGTTGCATCAAAGGTTATTTAGAAGAGCCTTTTACATTTTGGTCTTTTTAAAACAGTAAAACACTTCAAGTATTTGCATTTGAAGTTTTCAATACTGGAAAACATTTAGTCCAGAGTGTTTGCAACGGGGTTTCTAATTTTTCACATGGTCTCTCTTCTAAGTATTCCAGAACATTTAGTCTTCAGTTTTGGCTTCCATTTCCTCGGCATCATCATCCCCATCCACCTCAGCATTTTCCCTCTCCAGTCTTTCCAACTGCCTTGCAAGCTCAGTCTCATCTGTGTCAGTAACCACCTTAGGCTGAAAAAAACCAAATCAAAACACATGGCAAACAGTCAAAGAAACATCACATGTATTTGTAGACTCTGATTTTACATAAAAAGCAAGAGATAAAATACATCCTGAAGTCATACAATAAAACCCAGGAAAGTTAAAATTTTTGGTCATTTGTTCATTTAAGGAACATGGAAGTTCAGGCTTGTTTTTTTCTTTAATACTTTTTTGCTAAAATTTCTTGTAGCATTACTGGTTTGCTCTACTTTAGAAATACTGCAAGGAAAAAAATTATATTTTAGAATGTAATTTGTTCTTACCTCCATCTGCACATTAAAGACTCCTCTCTTCTCCTCAATTTTTTCTTTAATTACAGCCATGGCTTGATTCAGAACAGACAGCCCTTCAGTTCTCTCCAATGTTGTAGTAGTCATCACA